CATTCCTCGCTACACTGTACAGCATACACCACATTGTTAAGTTTGTGTACACACAAACTTAACAATGTTGAAGTCCAGACGCTTTTCTTTCCAAGCTCCTTAGATATCCAAAATTCACAAATGCCATGAAATACTTGAGCTATTGAGTTCCAGTGAATCTATTTAGACAAAGGGAGAACTTAAGAGGCCAGAACTGTTTTGTAAACATGTTTATTTCTGCTGTAAAGCTGAATATTTTAACTCTATGGAGATTGACTCACTTTTGGTTCCTCTGGTGGACACTGGAGGAACTGCAGCTCACACTTGTTTTCTTGTTTTATTTGTTTGCTGGGAAAAGTAGACACCACCTGAGTGTTCACAAGAAGACAATAACCAGTTTCAGGGTGATTTTTTTCTTTTTTGTCGTCTGTCTGTACACAAATTGCTGAACCATGACGAGCTCCAGAACAGCTGCGTGATTCACAGCAGAATTACTGGAAGCACAGTAAAAAGGCACCTGTAGAACATTTTGTTTATCTGATGAAACCGTGGATATGAAGTCTTTTATTCTACTTTAAAGGGGGAAGTTCAAGCTGTTCCACATAAACACCCATCAATCCATCCACCCATGGGCTGGAGCTTATCCCAGCAAAAATGTCACAGGGCAAAAACTGTTTCATAATTTGGATTGTTTAAAGCAGTCAGTATTTCTCTTGAGTGCATGAAGTAGTCACTTGTAATGGTTAAAGAAAATCCACGTTATGATTTAAGATGAAAGTTAGTAATTCCCAGTAAGTGTATATTTGTGCTGGACAAATATGCACTTACAGGCTGTTCACACAGGAACACAGATGAGACAAAAGATGAAGGTAACCTTGACTGATTGATGAATGAGGGGAAGAGAAGAAAGAAGCCAGCAGCATAAAGAGACCACAGACCTTGGATGAAACCTTCCTGGTGGAACCGCTGCAAAGAAACCACTACAATCCTTTTAACACAGCCGAACTAAACCAAGCTGAGATGGTTTGGCATGCAGACGTGGGAACTCCTTCCAAGCTGCTGGAGGAGCTCCAGTGGTGCAAAGCCGCTATCAAAGCAAAGAGGCTGTGAAGAATCAGGAGAATCTTAAATATGAAACCCAGTTTGTTTTCCATTTTCTGTTGTTCGGTACAAACATTTGTTATCCCACTGACTTCAGTTCTGTACTGCACTGTGGAAAAAGAGTCAAAATAAAGTGATGAATGAGTAGATGGGCTTGAACTTGTGACAAGTTCTACAGCAGGATCTTGTAATCATTTTAACTGTGTGATAGCGAGCTCTAATTATAAGTGGTTATCTCTGTTTTCTATATGATTTTATTTGGTAGCTGCCACATATCATGAGTACATGTGATATTTTTTCATAAAGCCCATTTGTAATTTTTTGATGGTAATCAGTATGGATGGTGACACCAGCTAGAAAATATTATTTTTTTAAGACAAAATCAACTAGAATTCTTACTTGTTCGACTGTTCGATGTCTGAAATGACTCTTTATACCAGTGGTGTCAAACATAAGGTCCAGGGGCCACAATCAGCTTGGGAAAGACTTAAATCTGGTCCTCTGGACAGTTTTAAAAAATGTGACGGAAAGAAGGCATCAATTTTGTACTCTCAACTGTATTTTCATACGTTTTACACTACTAACAAAACACTTTCATGGCCATTCATACAACACCAAGGTAATCATGTAACAGATAACAATTAAATGCCAGATGTTCCTTTTTTTAAATTTCTCATTACAGAAATGTGACTTTTTTTTAACAGTGGGTCCATATTTAAAAGGAATTTTCGTTTTCTTTGAATTAACTCTTTTAAATGTATTATTAAATTAGAAAGAGTGTGATTAGTGTCACCAGCATTTCTTTATCGTGTAGAAGAAGCACATTGTTGAACTTGTGCTCATCACACGGATTAAATGTGAAGTTAAACTTTGCTACCCTGACAGAAATAGGAGATTCACTGCCTCAGCCCACTCAAAGCAGGTTGCATGTGGCCCACAATGTAAAATGAGTTTCACATCCCTGCTTTATACTGTATATAAATGATGACATACTGTATATCATTTTCTGTTGCTTAGGAGTGTAGTAGTAGAGGTAGTACTTTTGTTTAATCTCCTAGCACTTCTTACCAAATCTCTCCTTTGGCTCCAAGAAGCATCCTGTCCACAGCTTTGACTGCACACTGCCTTTTTAAAATGCTTTTCTGATGGTTTGATCTCTTGCTAATCCAGTGCACATGTTAAAGTGTCCTCAGGTGATCAGCAGGCCATCCTAAATTGCCTCGATTGGATTGGAAGCGTGTGCCACTGAGCTGGACCTCTCCACTGTGTGCTGTTGGAGCTTTTTGGAGCATTTTAATGGCATGATCAAATTCTGTGTGGTACAGACTGTCTAGGGCTCCAGTTTTAGAAAGGGAAACTTCAGTATTTTATTAGTCTGTTACTCATTAGCACTCATTAACAGATCTGTGTTTAGGCTTTGCACTGCTACACAAACCTCTCATCCAATTACAGTCACTTCTGGCTCCAAACAGCAAACATGGTGGAGTCAGTGGGTGCCAGCAGCTGTCAAATTCAGGTTTGTGAAACAGGTTGCTGTGACTTAGTGGTGTGGGAGATCTCTTATCTGAGCGCATGCTGGATTCAATATTAGCTGCCTTAATGTGGACCAAATTGTCCACGACGGTGTACAAGACATAGTTTTTGGATTGCACACTGGTGAATTTGACACCCTGTCGTTCCATATCATTAAAAAAAGCTCACATTGTTACCTTTCAGACTTCAGTGGTCAGTGAGTTTATTACAGCTGCAGGACTGTCAGCAGACATTAAAATGGACTTTTTAAATTAACCCATCAAAATGAGCACAACAAACTCCACTGACAGACAGCGCAACATAGTCCAGACAGGAAGGGCAGAACAAGCCAGTTTATTGGTCTGTCTGTCCGTTTGTCCTTCCTGCTTGTCCCTGTTTCTGGCTGTCTCTGTCTGTCTCCTCCACTGTCGCATTCAACAGAAGGACGGATCACTATTAGGCAGGGAAAAACAGCGTAATGCGCCAGTCGGTGTACTTGAATTTCCTCTCGGTTGCACTATTTGGCAAAAGGAGTGAGGGGCGGGGAGAGAGAGTGAGAAGAGTGAAGGCAGCAGCAATACCGCCGGAAGTGTGGCTCTGGAGTACAATAAAGGCTTTATTCTCGCCTGTATGACTATTAAGTTAAATTAAATAAATTGATAGGAAATTAAATTTTTTTTTACATATGAAAATGAAGAAGAAAATACCTTTGTGAAATAAATATAGAAGGACTATGAGTAACAGCTTCTCCTTTCTTTAAATGCTTTTGATATGATTTGAATTTGCTGGTGTTGTAATAATATTTTGTATGATTCAAGTTCAATATGTGAGTGTCTTTCCTATGCAACCTCAGAAAATAAAGAATATCATGTCTATGTCTTGCAAAGTTAACTATAACTTTTATCTATAAATTTACCTTTTCTTTTTTTCTGACTATTTTTTTCTTAGAAAATTTACGTTTTTTCACCATAAAGTTGCAATTTCTTCCTTGCACATTTTCCTGTTTTTTCCCCTTAAACTTTGTCATGAATTTACTTAGTTTTTTTTCTCAAGTTACCAATTTTCTTTCATCAATTTGGCAGATTTCTTTTGTTATGAATTTTCCTGTTTAGTTCTTGTAAATGTGGCAGTTGTTTTCTTGCAAATTTTCTTGCTTTTCCTCATACATTTGTCTGTGTTTTGTTGTCAACGGTTTTCTCATTAATGTATCATTCTTCTAATAAGTTTGCAGATTACTTGTAAATGTCCCCCTTTTTTGACACGTTTCCACATTCAAATTCCTACATTTTCTCCCTAGTGTGTCAATTTCTTTTACTTCTCTTATAAATTGGCCTTTTCTCATAAATGTGGCTGTTTTTTCCTGCAAATGTGCTTATTTTTCTTATACATGACCCAAACACAATTCATGAAAATTTGTTTTTTTCTACTAACTTTTCCAGCTTGGTCTCTACTTGTCCAGCCCCTAATTTTTAGCTATTTATTTATTTTTAATTCCTCCAGTGGCACCAATAACTTCGTCACAAAACAGCTGCTTGTTCGTTCGTGTGGTTAAAGTTTTGCTTTTGGGCGCTTTTATTATGGAAGGCTTGACCGGAAACATGGCGCCTGGCCGCCTGTAGCTTATCTCTTCGTGGTGAGATGGCCGTGGAGTCTCAGAGGTTCCTGTGAAGTCGAAACGGGCTCTGTGGACAGACAGCAGGAGGCGAGAGAAAGTCCCTCGTTCACGGTCCTCTTCGGCCTCCGTGTTTTAAATTATATCAACGGTAAGACGGAAACAAACATGCACGTGTCTGCTAGCTAGCTAGCTAGTTAGCGCGCAGGTAAACAAGCAGAAACAAAAACACCGTGAGCGCTCGTTTTGTTGGTTACGTTCTCCCGCCGAGGGGGAGGGGCGGGGGGAGCAGCAGCAGCGGCAGACTGGGTTAGGTCCGTCTGCCGCTGCTGCCTTTCTGTCTGGGACACTGCTGCCTTTTCCGTAGAAATGCCTTTCCCGGACGCCCCCTTGTCTTCCGCAACTCTGAGGCCCCTATCCGCCCCTTTCCCCTCTCATCTGGAGCTGTAAATAATAGTGAGTATAAAAGAAACCGAGCAACATGGCTGACGCTGGCCCTGCAGAACCTGCTTGGTCGTTTTGTCAGTGCAGATGATGACTGTATGATGATTATTGTGTACATATTTTTTCTAACTGAGCAGATTTGCTCGATGCTCATCAGACTCCCTTGCAGAGAATAAAGGAAGAGGTGTGGGGGCTCGTGCTGCTGCTGCCATGCTGCAGATTAAAAACAGTGTTTGTAAGTCAGCCTCTGGGTTTGCTGCATTGTCTCAGTCAAATGCAGCCAATAAAGTAATTGGTTTTGCATGTTACTGGAAGCGGATTTAAATCCTCCAGCCTGATGGTAGCTACGCCCCCTGTGCCAACTTTTAACCAAATCAAAGCAAAGGTCACCTGGAGGCTGGTCCCCCAGGTGAAGCTGTAGCTTACCTGCTGTTGCTTCCCTCACTGAACAGAAAATCAGTAAAGTTTGGGAGTGAATGTGTATTTTTGTCTTTGTCTTTTTGTTTTCTTAGCACCCCAGTGAATGTTAAATATTTGATTTTCCAGTCCTGCTTTTTTGTGTAACCTGAAGGTGACACCGACTCTACCTAACACCACCTTTTAGTTTCTCTATTTCTATTTTAATTTTAGCCTACCTGTGTGTCTCCCCTGTTGTTTATCTGCTCTGATGTATTTTTGCACTAGTAAGCCAGTCACTGCACCTCCTCCTCCCTCTTCCTTTTCTATTTTATGTCAGGGTCCAGACCTCCAGTGCTGAAAAATGAAGCAAAAAAACAAACAAAACAACAACCCTGCAGTTCCTCTAATGGCCACTAGAGGCTCCAACAGTTGTTAAAGCTGTTAAAATGGCCAACTTTACAGTTTACAAATTTTCTTGAAGCCAGTAGTGTCGTGGTTACTTTGTGCACTTAGCAAGTGAAAGGTTGCTAAGCTCAAAGCTAATATGCTTTAATGTTGCTACAGTCACCTGTTTCAGCATTCACCTGTCCGTCAAAGAGGCCATGCCCCTAACTTTAAACCTCAGCAAAATCACAACAGGTGACTTATATAAACGTTATGTAGACTGTATAGTTGCCATGCAGGTGGAAAATATCCATAAAGACCAAAACTGTTTTATCAGGTTGCAAACATTTTAACATGATGGTCTATGAGGACTGACTCTGTTGTAACCAGCCTCTAGTGGGCATTAGAGGAATTGCAGTTTTTGACACTTCCACCTTACATCATTGTTATCATTGTTATCACTGACAATGATGTCCCATTGTCCATGAGACATCATTGTCAGTGATGCCTGTAGTCTGTAACACAAGCTGACAGAGGTCAGTGATGATCATACAGTCGCCTGTCTGGTGTTTATTAATGAAAGAAAACCATTTAAAAAAACATGAAGAAAATGAATAAATTATATAAAGTCAGCATAATAAGAATCTAAATGAGTGGCTATGCCGTCAAAGACACCAGAACACCAAACCTGCCAGAAACCTTTTTGAGCTCAGTGTTACACTGTTTAAAAGCACATGTTAGGGAAACTCTAGATTTGTTTTACTTTCTGAATCACGACCCTGAAGAACAGTTTGGGCAGTGCTGGGACTTGATGTAATCCAGATGTTTTGGGAGGTGAAAGAACCCCAGAATTCCTCCATAGATTTTTCTAGTCTGGGTTTCCTTACGGTACCCCTACAGAGTGTGTGAGTACTCGTATTACTGTTGTTGTGGAGACGGATCTGTTCACGCAGTCACATTGCGGGGATGTGCAGCTCTTTCCAGTCCCCGTGAGCTCAGGTGTTAAATCTTTAAGGTTCACACTTGGTTACGGGTTAAGCTCGGGAATGTTGTCAGCCCTGATGGGGTAATTCTCCAGGAAATGAATGCAAGTGAGCTATTAGTTGGACCGAATGACGCTGATTCGTTGCTGTCCAGATTTCCTCTTCCCCTCAGGACGGCAGATGACTAATCCTGTGTTGCTCCAGGCAACGAGAGGAAAATCATCACCAGCTGCAGCCAAGCACTGCAGAGCGTCTCTGGTGTTTCTGGTGGGTTAGTCTCCTCTGCAGGTGAGCGGGAGCGTGTTTGAACATCTGCTCTGCTGTTAAAACCATCAGAAAACCCGTTTTTCTTTCCTCGCTAGTTCTGCTGCCCAGCACCAAACCATTTGCTCTCTTATTGTGAAACGTGTGCTGATGGATCAACCCAACGAGTGAGCAATCAGTAGTGAAGGAAACATACAGCCTCTGAGGCCGGTTTCACAAAGATGGAGCTTGATTATGGTTGATTTAAAACGAATAGAATACCTTCATACTGAAAGAACACATCCAGCTGCTTACCCCAGTAGAAAATGTTGGTTAGAAGAAGAGGAAGCTCACAGGGAACGCTTAAAACGATTAAAAATGGTGCTGAGGTTATGTGGTGGGGGTTTTTATTTTTTTGTTTCTGTGGATAGATCGTGAACAGGATGTCAGCAGTCAGATTCGGGCAGTTTAGTTGTAAATCATGGCATTTTTGCTAAAGTGGGCGTTTATAGAGATTCACAATGGCTCATTCTTCTGCAGAAGTATACAGCGTGGAAACGTTGGGCAATGTTAAATAAAATGTAGTATAAAATCAGACTGCTGTTTTTAAACAAAGTCAACATCTGGCTTGTTAGCTTGTTAGCTCGTTAGCTTTCACGCGTCTGTTATTTCACTGATGGCCTCAAAATTATTTGAAATTTCAAGGAAATTTGCGATAATGATGTAAATAGGTAAAAACAAATACTGAACAATATTTTTGTGTGATTGCAGCTTGCAGGCAGCAGCGTTACTGTGTTATAGCAGTGATGAAGCATAAGTCAAATAACAGTCAAGAACAGAAGTTGCCTATGTTGCGTTTTCAATGGAAACTTTAAGTAAAAGTATAGTAAAACTGATTAATAATAATAATTCAGGTAGTGTAACCTTCACATAATGAAACTGAAAAATATTTTGTACCTGGGATGTTTCCTGTTAACCAGTTACTTAAAGCCCTCCTTTTCTACCATGCAACTGCATCAGTAATTTGGTGCAGCAAGCAAGTGCTCCGTTGTTTATTATTAGTCATTTGTTTATGCTAATAACATAAACAAATGTTATTAGCATTTATTTATGGAGGCTGAGACGCTGTCACCGTGAGCTCGCTCTCACGGATGTCTGAAGTTTCGTTTTATGTTTAAGGGAACATAAACTCATACCACCTTTATATTATATGACCTTTTTGTAATCACTTTAAAATTTATAGCAGTATTATTGTAGACTGCATCATGTGTCACAGCCCTAATTTTTATTCATTTATTTATTAACCTTTATTTAACCAGGAAGATCCCATTGAGATTAAAAACCTCTTTTTCAAGGGAGGCCTGGCCAAGATAGGCAGCAGCAGATGTCTCACAGTTACAGAAATTACTCAAACACAGGCAGCAACAACACACATGCAACAATAAGTGAAAGAATACAAATAAAATAAAATAAAATTTAATAAAATTCAAATAAAAATAAAAAAGTCAGTTAAAATGACAATCAATCTAATTGAAACACTTGCAAGTTATGGACTTGGCCTCAAGGATTCGTAGTTTGGATTTAAAAGCACTTAATGAAATGAATTCAGTCATTTTCCATTCCTTCTGCAGTTTGTTCCAAGCCGAGGGGGCTAAATGGACAAAAGCTCTTTTACCAAGTTCAGTTCGGGCAAATGGAATCACCATAATCCAGCACAGGCAAGAATGTTGCAGCAACAAGCCGCTTCTTTGTATTAAAAGAGAAACACAACTTATTTTGAAAATCAAATCTCAATTAGCAGTCACTTCAATTGCTCGCCTCAAAGCAGGGAAAAGTTCATGTCACAACCAGTTATTTTGCAGCTCAACCACCAGGCCTGAAGTAGATTCGAAAAATCGTTGTCAAGATCGATGAAGAAGCGAGGGATGGACAGACGTACAGAGATTTCCCACGTTGTTGGGAAGATGGCAGTGGAGTTCAGTCGGGGCAAGTCTTGAAGGTGTAGGTTTGAAGTCTTGAGCACAGCAGACAGTGAGCAGTTAGGGGGTCAGATGTGATACGTAACAACCCGCATACAGTTAAATAATACACTGCAGGCCTTCCTCCCAGGCTCCACTGATTAATAATTGAAGTCTCATGTTCAGGACATGAAACCTGCTCTCTCTTTTCCAACGTGAGATACAAGGTGCAGCGTGGCCTGTTGCCAGTTAGGAAAAAATATGTAATATTCAAGGAAAAGCTTTTGTAGTGCATGTATAGAGGTAGGTCTTTAATTCTAATTACTGATTTGACCAGTTCCCGCCTGATGGTGGATAAATGAGCACTTGTGTTGTCAGTTTTCAGATCAGGATATTGACTACAGATTTCACGGTCTTTCGTCATCTTCAAGCGTTTGACAGTCAGGCGGCGTGCCGTGTCTAATTTAGGCATGTCTGTGAGCAAGGCGGTTATCCACCGACTGGTTGTTCTGGCAGAAACAGAGTTTGTGTGTTGGTTCAAGCTCCCGTCTGATGAATAAAACAAAGTTAAGAGGGTCTGATAAATATTGCAGCCTGCGATCAGAGTTCAGGGCCGATGCTCAGTTTGGATGGCAGATTCATCTCTCTGTCCCTGTTCTGAATATCCTGTCCCTCACCTGGAATTTGCTATAAATCAATAAAATCTGAGGGAACAGGTGTGCTTTGAAGATGGCTGTCAAATGGAAGACTTCTAGTAACTACCAAATTTACAAAACTTTCACTGGTGGATTTTAATTACGTGTTTAAGTAAAATTGTCACAGTTTATCACAGAAAATTAGTTTGAAGTGCCGACTTACTATAATCATGTAAGTCAAGATCCATTGACATGCTTCTTTTTATTTAATATTTTAGGGTTTGTGGCTGTTTATTTTTCTTTGAAGGCGGTATTGAGATTGTTCGTGGGTCAGCTCTGGCTCTTGGGTGTGTCCCGATGCTTTTGCCTGAATGTAATCTTCCATATTTTGTCTAGATTTCACTTTTTAAGGTTTTTCTACTTTGTTATTTGTTTTTATTCGCGATATTCTGCAGTCATGCAGATGTTGTTGGGTCTGTTGTGGTAAACTGAGAGCCGAGCCTGAAGGCAACGCCGTCAATTTACTGGTCGATCTGTCAGACCTTAACAGAGAGAGAATTTAAATATGAAGATGTTATTGTGATGTGATCACAGCATGGAACTTCATTATGACACATGTCATTTACTGTAACATCAAAAACATTTAGGGTTATTTTCTGAGTAATACGAGAAAGCCATCGGTGCTGAATAATTGTTTCATGAAATGATTTCTGTCACAGGTTTGAATCTGGTTTTGCTGAAGAGGGTTGAGCAAAACGAGCTCCAGGTCCTAGAAAGCGACCTGCTGAACCGCTCATCAACTGTGCTGAATACTGCAGACCAGGTAACCACTGCACAGCCTCATTAACCGCCTCAGTTTGTCTCTACTTTTAGATAAAATTGGTGTAATTTTAAAGCCATTATGTGATGATAATTATAACACTAATTTTTTGTTGGGTCTTTGTGGATTGATGATGCACATTCAGTCGTGTGTGAAAGAAAGTTTCCACAGGACTCTCTGCAGCTCTGTGAAAAACTAAGTGCGTCCTGTGATTCAGAGGCTTGTAGACTCACCTTTAGCAGGAGTAACCTGAAGTAATGTTTGACTATCAGTCCCTCATGTTCTTGTGGAGGAATTTTGACCCACACTTCTTGTGACGTTGCTTCAGTTTATTGATGTTTGCAGGCATTTGTTGTTTCACAGCTCTCTGAAGGTCCCACCACAGCATTTCAGTCAGGTTGAGGTCTGGACTTTAACTGGGCCATTGCATCACCTCGATTCTTTTTCGGCCATTTTATTGTTGATTTGTTCCTGTGCACACTTGAGTGCTCCAGACCAGAAAACTTACAAAATATCCAGTTTTGGACCATTCTGTTTTTGATTAACAACACCTTGATGCTGCTTACCCTCCTAATTCCTATGCAAGCACTTAGGGTGAATTTAGTTTTTCACAGGACTGTAAAACTGGCTGACATCCAGCAAAGACAACAAGTTAATCTTACGGTATTTAACAGAAATGAGTGTTTTTTTGTCATTTCTGACATTTGACAGAAAAATCTCTCTTAATCCTAAGGAAATGAAACCCCAATTTAATAAAGCTTGTCACCAATCATATTGGTGATTTGAAGTTTCTATTTAGTAGAAAGTGGGATGTTATTTCATAGATTTGGACCACACTCATCCTCAGCTTCACATGTAAGAATACTTTAGTTGTGTCCCATCATCTTTCTGATTCTTACGTCTGGGATCTGGTTGCATAATTGTGTGCTTATTAAACATTTTGTCTTCCGTGAACAATACAAATGAAAACAGTCACGGTATCAAGGTGCCGAGCCTCTAGGTGTGAGTGTGTGCACCATAGATAAAGAGCTTAAGGAAGGAAGAAAAGACTGAGGCTGTGTGCGAGTGGGTGTGTGATTGGATGAAGTGTATAGTGATTTGAGCTGAAGGAAAAAGTTCAGTATAAAAATGTCACTTCACCTCTTCCTCCCAGTGCACATAATATTTGATACCAACATGTTCTATGTATGTAAAGATATGTGCATGTATTATACAGGCAATAGTAGTTAGCGCAGCTTGATCAAGGAGTATTATATTTAGTATTAAAATACTTAAGCAGTTAAATGGGGTCAGAGTTGTTGAGTTCCCCCCCTGCATCTGGTCTTTGTGCCCCACCAAGCTCTACTTGTGTTGGACCTGTTTGAATGGAAAATTCCCAAAACAGAAAGGCTCTGACATCATGTTTTGTTGATCATGTACAAACATTTTCCACCACTAGATGTCAGTAAAGTCTCAGATAATAACTCCTCTGTGTTTTGTTTTGTTTTTTGTCCTTGGCAGGTTTGAGCTGTAGCTGTGTGGCCGGGCAGCCTGGCTGCCCCCCTGCCTCCAGATGAATGAAGAACACTCCGGGACACAGAGACACAGCTGATACAGGTCAGGACGCCCTCACTGCCCCGACACACACTGCTGCACAGAAATAGTGTTTGTTTTCTGTTGCATTTCCAGTCAAGTCCAGTGTGTTAGAAATGAATACAGATAGTTGACCAGTCTTAATCATACCTCGTAAGACCTGTCATTCAAATCCAAAGATGGTTGTAGTGGTGACTTAGAGATACTGACAACTGCAAGCAGCAGTGATGAGTAGAAATTCCTGTTGTACTTTTAATGAAGTCAGCCTGAGTGGTGCATGCATTGCTGCTGCACTGTGGTACAAAGTCTCTGTGGGCCACGCAGCCACAAAGAAATTGACAGTCATGCAGAAGTGCATGACGGTGAACTCACTGTGAAATGATGAAGTTCATGAAACTTAGAGACTCATAGAAACTATAACACGCCTCTTTGGGTTAGGCGTGTTTGGCTCTCAGAGGGTTCATTCATTTAAAATCTCCTTGAAACTTGCTGCAAAGAGAGAGTCCAACATAACCAAGTGTTTACTTTTGAAGCCCTAAGCTTTGGTCACTGTGTTTAAATGTCTCAGTGTTCACAAATTAAAGGCTAATGTAGCCACTGAAGAACATAGGCTGAGCCTAAATATTCAGTTTGGACTGTATATGAGACTCAAATTAAAGCAGGTGATTTTTTTAAATGAATTATAAACTTCATCCGTCTTTCCAGTTTCTTAACTATTTATCTGTCTTGAGGTTGAGGGGGGGGTCAAAACTTACACAGGGCAGACGGCAGAGTAGTACCCGTAAGCTGACAGTCACAGTGCTAACAGAGACAACCACATGTTGACAACCACACACTGTCAAATCCACTGCAATGGCCAGTCTAGATTCGCTCAGTGATATAAGATGCATAATTTTGGATTGTGGGAGGAAGGCGAAGTATCTAGAAAGAATCTGTGAAGAAACGACCCGGTGGCAAGCTTTGAGGTGACATCATATCACAGTTTGAAACAGCAGTGTTGAAGGGTTAGCAAAGACTTTACCATGTAAAAGCAGTTTAGGAATCTAGCCTACTTAAATTAGGGAACAAAGGTGGAGCGCTATCAGCTGAACATGAGTGATCATCACATCTTCTTCTTTAGGCTACGTCCACACGCAGTTACTGCCCCTCCAGTTAGAAAGACAGAGGTGAACTGTCTTTCTAACAGAGTGAACTTTGGACTGGTTTTGAATAAATTAAATTAAAAAAATAATACAATCTATGTATGCTGTATGCATTTTGCTCTTTCCTAAGTTGTGAGTCTACACAACACTCAAAATACTGTCTTTAGTTATTAATATTTGAAATGATGAAGGCACTTGAAAAGTAACACCTAATTAGCTGCCTTTCCAGAAAAACAAAAACTTTTCGTTAGTACTTAAGGTTTTGTGAGGGTACAAAACCCTGTTTACTCTTTCCCTGCCAGGCTTCTAGACTTCTGATTGGCCAACATTTTGTTTTTAGTGTTTACATGTGAATGGAGATATGGAGGAAAAAAAAAAAAAACGAAAACAGAAAATCTCAGTTTTCAAAAAGAAATAAAAAAATACACCTTTACAGATAGATAGGGCTGTGCGATATGACCAAAATCTCATATCCCGATATTAAGACATCTATCGTCACAAAAATTTAACATTTTCTGTAAATTCTGTGAATCTTGGGCAGCTCGACTTGCGGGAAGTGTTTCCTGCTGCAAGTCATGTAGCTGGAGTCGAGTGTTTTAACCGATGGATGAAACTATACATTTTTAGACATAAGTTGTAACGGCCGCCGTTTTCTTTGTGAGTATTTATTACACGGCGTGCTGTGGAGAAAAGCCTGTTCTAACGTTTGAGTCTAAGGTTTAGTTTTTAGCACCTGCCGGCTCTTTTTTACTTCTCATCCGTAAATACTCTGCATACTCTTTCACGTAATTCAGTTTCTTTTGAAAAGTCTCAACAGAATCTTGAGCTTTATTGTGAAAGGTTTATGTGGAACATAAACAAGCGGACACGCGATGGTGCTACCGTTGTTGTTGCTAACGACAACACATAAAAACAGGCGCTTGTCCGTCCGTAGTGTGGTTATATAAAATATAAGAGAAAGAGAGAACTTTAAGAAATGAATATAGCCACTACAGTGACCATCAAAACGATGACAAAAATATTGCCGTAAACAGCTTATTTTACGACACCACGAAACAAACGATAGCGTAAAATGAAATGACAGACGTTTTTATATCGTCATCTGATATATATCGTTATATCGAACAGCCCTACAGATAGATATGCCTTTTGTTTTGTTGGTTTGCCCTCTTCTGGCTATAAATGCAGTCTTTGGATGGTTCAGTTCTAATCAAATGTGATTTTGTTGTTGTTGTTGTTGTTTTTGTCCAGTTTTAAAAGCATTAGAGCAGAAACACCAGTTTTCTTTCAGAGGAGGTTGATGAATGCTCAGAGCTGGTAATAACTGTGGCTTCCCGAGTCTACATCAGAAGACGTGCTGTTTGTTACAAAGTGATGCAGCAGTATGTGAGTCAGTGCCTGGGCGTTTTTCCACCTTAATTCAAATGTCTCTAATAAAGGCGAGCAGTAACAGGAAATATCCAGGACTTGGAGTAAATAGGCTGGAACACATAAAACCATCACCATTTTATATGAGCAGGAAGCTGCCGTTTGGTAAATGATCTGTATCGTGTGTTTCTCCTCAGGGCATGCAGGTGTTTCTGCCAATATGATGAAGAAAAAGAACCCGCACAAGTGAGTAAAGACGTGCTGCGGCTCATTTATTTTTATCCGGCCTGAATATTTGCTCTCGTGTGCAACTTTTTAAGGGCAGGGAGCATTGATTGTATTGTTTTGCATAAAGGAAGCATAAGAGCAGCCTCGGCCCGCCCACCAAAGTCCTGTCGCAGCCTCGACGCAACATCGTTGGCTGCCGGATCCAACACGTCTGGAAGGAAGGAGGAGGACATGTGATCTGGAAAGGAACTGTACTCGACCAGGTAACCAAAGGTTTCTATAAACTGTCCAATCATATGTCACTTCATTCTGTCTGTATACACCTGAGCTCACTTTCTTCTGTGTTAAAGATATAAAAGAACAATGTGACCACTGATACCACCACTTTTGAAGCTTCAGTGTTAACGTTTTGGCAGCTGCCATGTTATTTTTTTTGATAGCCAGAATTGACCTTAACTGGAGCTAATGCTGGCTTGCTTGGTTAGCATTGCACAGAGAGATGCCTGCAAATGAAATACTTGGATTTCACTCACCAGAACTAGAGCACACTAATGGGTGGTCTGTTTGTTATTTATTGTTGCTACTTACTTCTGAGGTAACTGCGAGACAGAAACTACACACCCTATAGAGAGGTGTATTTCAGTGACTTGAATTACTTAAGACAGGGGTGGGCAACTCCAGGCCTCAAGGGCCGGTGTCCTGCATGTTTTAGATCTCACCCTGGGTCAACACACCTGAATCAAATGATTAGTTCATTACCAGGCCTCTGGAGAACTTCAAGACATGCTGAGGAGCTAATTTAGCCCTTTGAATCAGGGCACATCTAAAACCTGCAGGACATGGACCCTTGAGGCCTGGAGTTGCCTATACCTGACTTAAGGTAAAGCTCAACAGAGTGGTAAAGCATTTCCTAACTTACATAATTAACTAGTAAACTATTTAAAAAACTGCAGTTTTAGGCACTTGGCCTTAATTTTTCTGTTGCTGTCATATTATTAAATATTATTATGATGTTACTGTTGCATTGATTTATGAGGTTGTGTGGACACAAGCACAAAAATTGGGTATTTGTGTCCCACAGGTGCCTGTGAACCCGTCTCTCTATCTGATAAAGTATGATGGATTTGACTGTGTTTATGGTTTGGAGCTTCATAAAGATGAGAGGGTTCAGGGACTGGAAGTGCTCCCCGACAGACTTGGTAAGGCTGAACATAATTTAAACCCTTTTATTTTTCTTCTTCGTCTAAAGGACACAGCAGACATGTAAACAAGTAACATGAGTCGTGATTTCATTTTGACCCCATCAGCTAAGTCCCGTCTGACAGACGTCAACCTGGCCGACGCCATGATAGGTAAAGCGGTGGAGCACATGTTTGAGACGGAGGAGGGTCCGAAGGAGGAGTGGAGGGGTATGGTGCTGGCCCGGGCTCCCATCATGACCAGCTGGTTCTACATCACCTACGAGAAAGACCCTGTCCTGTACATGTACCAGCTGCTGGACGACTACAAAGAAGGAGACCTGCGCATCATGCCCGACTCTAGTGAGTGAAATTAATTTTTAAAGAGACTTTGCCGAGCATTTGGATCATATTTGCATATGTTGTCCACATTAAAGGCCATTTTCTGTTTAAACAAAATGAAAGTTGATGTGCTTTCTATGTGGTAAGGATCGTATTCTAAATGAACTATTCTATATTTTCTAATATTTCTGCTTTTAATTTCGTCTAAAAGTTGTGCTGCACAGTCTCACCTCCATGCATTATATATACATTGGTTAGCTGCAGTTGTTGGGCAGCAATTGGCTTTTGGGAGAAATCGTCCATCTCCATTCACGCTGTTCTTATTCATGGACTGTAGAAAAAATGCACTTTTATCAAAGCTGCTTGCGTACAACTAGTTTTTGTAAAGTAATCTTGAAGGATTACTTGTGTAAAGGGTCAGATTTACCCCTAACAGTAACCTAACCAAGCACAGTACTGTGCAGAAGTCTTGCTTCAACCCTAATTTATTTATTTATTATTTTTAACTACATGGCTTTTAAGGAGGCAGACTTTCTTTTGATTTTTGAAAAAGCGGTTTTCAGCAGTAGTTCTTCATCATGAGGCTTTTTGGAAATCTTTCAGGTTTTCTTTTGACATTGGAAACTTCTTCAAATATCTGAAAAAGACTATAGACACGAGATAAACAGTAACTGAACATCATGTCCTTGAGGAATAAAATCCAGCAAAGACCTGACACATGATGTTAGAGATGTATCTGGAGCTTCAGGTGTTTCATCTATTGTTTACTGAAGCCTCATCAGAATTGATTTAAGTGGAAGGATGGCTGTTAAGAAGCCATTCTTACTGAAGGGAAACGGGGAGACACATTACACAACAACTGAACTGAAAATCAGTTGCAACAGCTCTGACGGAGTGATGAATCTAAATTTGAAATATTTTGGTTCAACTTATTGTCAGTGTGTACAGAGGAGGTTGGGAGAGGTACAACAGTGAGCCATGTAAAGCATGGTGGAGCCTCTGTCATAGTTTGTAACTGGACATTATGGAATCATGAATCCAGACAAATACCATTAGATTTTGAATCACCATGCAATACCATCTGAAAAGCAATGATCCCAAATACACTGCCAATGCAGTAAAAGGATTGGCACATGGATAGAGAAACACACAAAGGAACATAATGAGTCACTATCAGGCCTTCCATAGAGCCCGGCCTAAACCTGACCCAAAGAGTAAGTGAGAATAAAAAGCCCATAGAAATGAAACTATACAGCAGATGGAGAAAAAGTAAAACTAAGTGCAAAAATAAATGTCCAAATAGACTTCATGTCCACCCCTATTAGCGGGAGTTTGTAGGTCTTTAAAGTGGAACAGTACTTTCTGTCTCAGTGTTAGGACCGATTTAAAACGATAAACTGTGAGTTATGGGTGCAACCTTAACATTGCAAAATGGGCTAAAACCTTAAAATGCAAACATGTTGGTGAATCTGTAACATTTTTACCTATTTAAGAAAACAAACAAACACACACATCTGTTTTAGCACCTGTCTCACTTTCTCCTGCAGATGACAGCGTCCCAACAGAGAGGGAGCCAGGCGAGGTGGTGGACAGTCTGGTGGGTAAACAGGTCGAGTACGCCAAAGAGGACGGCGGCAAACGAACAGGCATGGTCATCCACCAGGTAGAGGCCAAGCCGTCCGTCTACTTCATCAAGTTTGATGATGACTTCCTCATTTATGTGTATGACCTGGTCAAAACTTCGTAAGACTCTGTGGATTTCCTGAAGCCCACCCAAACCCAGTGAGATGGAAAGAAAATGCAGCACACGTCAAGACATCTGAAGCATTTAACCCGGACTTGTTCTTCGGACCATCAAAGATGAAAATAAAGACTGAAAAGAAGATTTTTCACAGCGGGAAATTAGAACAAAGGCTGTTTTTGCGAGTCAACTTGTTTCTCTGCAGGAAGGTTTAAAATGGAAAAAAGACCTTCTTTAAACCCTTAAAATAATAGGAAAAAGTTACCTTTTAATAGGTCTAAAAGCTTTTGAAGCCCTGTATTACATTTCTGGAAAAAAAGAAAGTTATGTAAAAGATCAATTTTAGATTAGAAAATAATACAACATGGATTAGATTCAAGAAGAGGCTTCCTTTTTTTTTTTTTTTGTACTAAACAGCGATCTTGTGAATAGATCAATAGTAGTCATCTCTTTTTTGCTTGAGCATTTAGAGATTCTTCTGGAAAGATTTCTGTGTCATGTTTTCTACTGAAGCTCACCTGGCCACAGAAAAACAAGCAGACTCCCAGTGAAGAAATGTAGCCTGAAGCCGGTTGTTGGAAGGGACTTGACTAGAAATCAACAAATCAAACAGACTAGAAGATGAAGATGATGATTATGATGAAGATGATAAAGCAGAAGAAGGATTCTTGGACTGGAACATTTCTAGTCACGATGAAGGAGGAGTTGGTGTTTGGACTCAGACGCCACATCTCAGTGTTGACGATAACTTCTCCATCTGCCTAGCATTACCATGTATGGAAGCTCATTTCTGCCATGATTAAAAAATACTCATGCTAAAGGCAGTATTACAATATTTCTAAGTAAAAATTATGACGCCCTAAATCCGAATAATCAGATAGTTTTGAAGGGTAGCTAGATGCGCCGTTTGGTATACGCGTCACTGAATCATGAATTCATACATTCGCATTTCTGTGTGAATATGCAGAATTTGTAGTTCAGGCTCTGTTGGCCAGTAACGAAGGTAAACAGAGCAAAACAAGTGAGGATTGTCTGACAGTGATTTAGAACATGACAGCCAGAAATGCTGGTTGTTCCCAGGGGTTAATTCAGCAAATACGTCCACAAACATCCAATCATTTTCACAATTTTACAAGTTTAGTTAGTTTAGTTGTTCAAAGAAAATAATAGGAAAAAAAATCAGAATCTTGACTATTTTTTTAGATTCATTTCCGACATCAGTTTTATTTAATATTACAAACTTTTACAAACAAAGCCAAAAGTATTCACTTATTATGTTGATGTTGAACTAAGTAAACAGTATTTCATTTTAAGATCAGATTAAATAATACTTTGACTTGCTAGCTAATATTTAAACTAATGATATACAATCCTTGCTCAGTGAGATAAAATCTTTGACTTTAAAACAGGGTCATGTTTCATAAGTCTGACTAAGCAAGGCTTTTATTGTTGGTTAGTTTTTGTTGTATTTAAATGGTCATTTTTTTTCTTGGTACAAATGGGCTTCCATACAATAGAACTCCATAAGACGGGAAGTGAAACAAACTGGTTCCATTTTGACAGTTTAATGTCAAAGCTGGACTTTGTAAAGCCCTGGAAACTGTTGGCCCAAACTTCATCCAAGCCGGGTGGTTTGGTGACATCTCTCTGAAAAAGGAACTGTTGAAAACATCAAAATGACCTTTGGAAATATCCTAAACGCCAATTTGTGGCCCATCTGATTGGATGAAGGAAAAACTACATTTTTTGTTTGGTTCTTGTACAGAGAAAACCAAGCTTATTTTCATCACATTGTGTGCTACTCACACAGACCCCATGTTTAAAAAAAAAAAATCTCCAGCAGTTCCAAACTGTGATTTTAAAAAAAAGAAAAGAAAAAAAGTTTTTTTGTTTTTGTTCTTTTTTTGCTTTCGTCTTTGCCAAAATCCCCCCTTCTTGTCGTGAAGTTGTTTGATGTTAAAGATGATTGCTTTTTGTTTTCTGTTTTTTCTCGTGATTTCACTAAAGCCTTTGGATTTACTCTCGTGTTGTCTTTTCTAAGTCGTCAAAAAAAAAAAAGAAGGAAAAATGGGGCCGAGAAAACGAAACTGAACCATGGCCAAAGCCCTTTCTGTCCTTTTGGAGTTTGTTTAAAAAAAACAACAAAAAACAACAACAAAAAAAACCTTGTCATGGATAGCAGGCAAACACCTGGCTGTGTCACTATTCATGGAAAAACAGACTTTGAGAGCAGAAAGCCTGACTTAATGCTCCTTAAACCTGAAAGGATGGAGGCATGAAGAATGCTTCCTGGACACTTTGTATTGTGTGTTGGACTTTTGAAGCCACTAGAACGCACAAGGACAGACAGATTTGCTGTAGCGCTACAGTCATGTTTCCAACCTTGAAACCATTGGTGAGACCTGAAACTTCTGTCAAGAGCGCTGGGAGCCTAAATCCGGTTCACTTCCATGTTTGGCTTGATAACATTATAACTGAAAATATCCCAGTTTGTATTTACACACAAACCAAAAGATCACAGACTCTTCGTGGGCAGATCGGATCTTCTCCTGGACGTCTTGGAAAGAGCTTCTGTGGGTGCTCACGAGGTGATCCGGTCTGCTTCACAGCATGTATGCAGTAAGAGAGGACACAGTTGGTCGTGTTTAGTATATAAAGAGATTAACAGCCAGTGAAGGTTTGAATTTGTTTTGTCACAGATGTACTTTTTATTTTATTTGGATTTACTCCAGACTGAAGGTTTTCTAAAAACTACTGTTTATTGTACTTATTTGAACTTAAGTTAAAGGGAACCTATTCTGTTTATTGCTACTGGAGTCACTTTGTGTGATTCAGAATTATAAAATAATCCCTAAAAAGCAAGCAAACATCATTTATACTGCAGATTTCCCTCCACGAGGATGTGCTGGTTCTTGCCAAACCTCTGTACAGGCTGTGAATTTTAGCATGGGAAAAGAAAAACTGAGCAACAATAGCATAGTAAAAAATTATGAAACTCATAAGCTAATTCCATAACATACAGATTCAATAAAATAATTGAAAGCTTAAAATAAAGCATAATAATAATCAACTCTGCTTATCTGAAACAAACAGTTTTAGCTCCTCCCCTTTTGTTCTGAATTGCCACTCTCCCTATACAGGTGGTTGGAGCTTCTGTTGTCAGATGACCATATTAGGGATATCCACTCTCTCTGACTTCATGCAGAGCCAAGAGTAGAAAAAAAACTGAGTTTAAAGCAGTCTGAAGTTTAAACTTTTGCCTCAGATTTATAAACAATAATGGTTTTGATAAGAAGTGCCACAATATAACACTACTGATAATGATCATAATCAGTATTTAAAAATAGCATTTTTATTGCATCACAAATGCACATATGATATTATCTTAAACAATCCAGGCTGACTAACGGCTTGCAGTTTATTTACTACTGCTGTTGGCGTTCATGTTTCTGTTGCCATGGCAACTGCCCACTAATTGGGAGAGAGTCACTTCCCACACACACACACACACACACACACACACACACACACACACACACACACACACATACACATCAGACTGAGTCACTCCAGAGTCAAATCCTGAGGTGGTTTCTCAGGATTTGACCTTCTGCCAGCTGCTCCGTGAGCGTCTGTGTGTCTGATCGAGTCTGTGCAGTTTGGTGCTGAATTGTAGGTGTACACCTGTGATGGAAGAAAAAAAGAAAGGAAAAGGAAAAACATAATAGGTTCTTTTTAAAATACTTGAGTCTGTTCTGAGTCAGTGTTTTGTCATTCGTCTACATTTGTGGGATAAACTGGGATCTCCTACAGGCTGCTGTCAAAGCCGGTGAACTCCAAACACGAGGGCAGCCAGCTGACTTGATTGCACTGTTCAGGCTGTTTGTGACGGTGGAAATGTGCTTGGATGCTTTGGCTGAATCGATGTACAGAACAGTTTTTCTTTGTGAAGCCTTCAGTGTGTGTACTTCCTGTAATGTAGTTAGTTGCAAAGGCAGATTAAAGCTCTTATTATTATTATAACCGTTCTTTAAAAAAAGAAAAAAGAAGACAGACCCTCTGTGAGGTCTGTAAGTCTCTGCACTTGTGTATCTGTTTTGTTTTTCATTGAAAAAGAAGTATGATTGTGATCATCTCAGCTGGCACTATTTTAATCAGTTAACTAAATAACGCGTCGTTGCTAAGACTCGACTCCCAGCCAGGTTATGTTGGTTCCTTTTTGCTCTTATTATGATACCAGATTATTGTGGTTAATGTTGGAATGACATGGGCCTTCTATCATCCTTTTGCCTTGTATTGTTTGTTTTTGTATGTTTAAAAAATGTATGTTAATAATTTTTATTGTTAATGGAAAACCTGACACGGTGTGCGTCGTCTTCTTTCTACCATCGTTCATTTTCCGGTGATTTAGAGCTCAGACTGAGCAATGAAGGTGTAGTGCTCACATGCTCCCGTGTGATTTAATTATAGTTCAAACAAAAGCAGAGCAATGTTTACCCAGAGAGCCACATCGCCATTTCATATATTTTTAAATGATTTTATTTTATATTTTTCACTCTGAAACATCAAATAGTCTAGCTCTTCAGATTGAACACAGAATGGTTCGTGAAGCTTGGTAAGTCACAAGAGATGTTATAGTTTTCTTCTCAGTTTCTGATTTTAGATCAGTTTAGTTTTTTGTTTTAAAGCTTTAAGTGGTTGTTTTAGTTTTCGCATTATATGGAGGTCTGTGAAGGATATTAAAATATATTAATTTATATGCTCACCATAAACTTATAGTACACCTTGCAAGTACTAGATCGAAGCCCACTTGCCTCCAGAATTGTCTTAATTCTTCATGGCAGATTCAGCAAAGTGCTGGAAACCTTCCTCAGAAATTTGTCCATATTGACATGATGGTGTCACATGACTGCTAAACAGCCATGGTGTGAATCTCCTTTTCCACCCAAAGGTGCTCTACTTGAGTACACAGAGCTATATGTCATATTCCAGAATCCAGTAACTGGGATCATTAAGGGATGGATCTGGTCAGTAATAACACTCAAGCAGGCTGTGGTGTTTAGATAATGCTCAGTCTGTACTAATGGGCCCAAAGTGTACCAAGAAAACATCACCATCACAGCACTAACACCAGCCTTAACTGTTGGCAGGATGGATCCATGTTTAAGTTTTTTATGCCAAAGTTTCCTGTTCTTTGGTGACAGGAGTGGCACCCAGTGTGGTCTTCAGCTGCTGTAGTCCAGAGATGCTCTTCTGCATATCATGGTTGTAATGAGTGGTTGTTTGAGTTGCCATTGTCTTCTGGTCTCTGGTATCAAGAAGACATTTTTAACCGCTTGATATTTTCTGTTTTTCTGACCGTTCTCTGTAAACCTTGGAGATGTTTTTGGGGGAAAATCCCAGCAGGTCAGCAGCTTCTGATATATTCAGACAGCCTGTGTGACACCAACAAAGATGCAAGTCAGGTAAATCACCTCTCTTCACTCTGATGCTCGATTTGAACTTCAGCACCTTGTCTTCACCATGACCAAATGCCTGACATTGACTGATAATTATATCTGGGTTAACAAGTAGCTGAGGTTTGAATCAGGACTCGTCCTTGGTATGCGGTGGCAGTGCTAATTGGTACTACATATCCAACCAATCATGCTGTTGTTTGTTTTTTTTTTAGTATCAGGTTATAAACATGTTTGTTTTAACTGTGGACTCATTCACTTTTGGAGCCAGCCTCCAGTGGACATTAGAGGAACTGCAGTTCTGGTACTTCTATTAAACAGCAGCTGCTTTATTTCAGGCTTGAGGGTTTAAAGCTCCACTCCTCTGACATGTGAAAGAGGAAACAAGTGTTTCCGTTAAAGTTTGAAAAAGAGAGCAAGCCAGCATGACTTGAACTGAATTTGTGGTTAATGAAGCAACTTCATTAACCACAAATTACTTAAAATAACCAGACACTCTTTAACTCATGATGAGTCAAATAGAGTAGAGATGTATCTGAATATAGCATGACAATTTTATGCATTCTCCTTGCAGTGTTTGATTAGCTCTCAGAAAACTTGTGTTCATACACCAAAAACCACAGGGCAGGTTAATTTCAGAGTGACTTTAATTTCGCTCAAACGAAACGTGGAAACAATAAATAACACAGTAAAATCAACCTCTGA